GTAGAAGTAGAGTAGAGTAGAGTAGATGTAGAATAGAATGAAGTGGAGTGGAGTGGAGTGGATGAAAGGAAGGAAGGAAGGTAGGAAGGAAGGTAGGAAGGAAGGTAGGAAGGAAAAGTTAAAGTATACCAAAAAATTCTTCAAAATATTATTAATATTACTCGAGTAATATGATTCTCAAAATTATTATCGATCGATCTGCGATCTAAAAGTATAAGAATGAGTGAAGACTTTTTTTAGTAGCGATGATGATATAGTATATATAGCTATGGCTATAGCGAATAGTAGAGAATTTCCATATCCAGATGAGTTTCGTTTTCGTTTTCATTTTTATTTTCATTTGATATCATACTCGTACGAGTATATCTTTTATCTATACCAACCAACATACCATACAGCATAAATACCCATGCCATTGCCTATCCTTTATTACATCCCTCCTCCCTTCCTCCCTTCCTCCCTTCCTTCCATCCATCCATCCATCCATCCATCCATCCATCCATTTTTCCTTCCCTTGCATACATAGCAACTCGCCTCACAATACCTCTTTTTTTGCCTGCCAGCCAGCCCTGCCCATTCCCCCCAACAAAAAAACTGCATTTAAAACCCGAGCTCCATATCAATGCAATACTGTATGTAAGTAATTATTTGAACTCCGTGCATGCCAATGTTCATTTTTGAAAATCCCATTCTTGCTGTCATATAAGAGGACCACTTGAGAACGGATCAGAGGTGAGGTGCACTGGAGGATGCTCAATTTGTCACTTTTTATGCTGATGTGATATGATGTGATGTGATGTGCCATGAACCTTTTTGTTGTTGTTGTTTGAGAATGACTCTGTTACTGATTGATCGCATATGCTTTTTGCGCTGTCTTTGGCTCTTTTTGGAAGGGGTATGGTGATTCTGGTATGAGTTAATGCGAATGCGAATGCGGATTTTCAAACACTTTTTTTCATGCCATTGAACCGTCCCGTCGTGAATTGTAGATCGAATGTACTTTTCGTAGTAGAGATATTGATCATATAGTACATATCTCCAAAGAGGTCGAGAAGATCTGATGCTTTCATGCTAGCCATGTCTCTTCTTTTCTCGCGGGTGTGGCTTCGCCGGGAGTACCAAGACCACCACCGATGGTCAAGCCATCATCATCGTCATCTTCTTCTTCGTAGTTGGCATCGTCGTCTACTCCACCATTCGCCATTTCACTGTGGGTATAAGCCCTATCCTCATCATTGTCCTCCACCATCCACGTTAATCCATTTGCAGCCTCTTCCAGTGGAAAGACTTCTCGGGCATATTCCTCCAAGCCTCGGTATCCCTCCCATAGCTTCATTGCCTCCTCTGGTACATTCCTCTCTAATTCCTGTTCGGCAAAGTAGGGAGGTTGTCGTCGTGGATCTGCTGCGCCTAATGAATACATTTGTTCCAATGCAACCAATTGATCTTTATATCCTCTTGGGATCTTGACTCGCACTTCGATATTAGGATTATGTCTGTACCTTACTGAACGACCGACTCCGCGGGCAAAGGCGGCGCAAGCTTGTTTGGGAGATAAGAACTCGTAGGCGAGAGGTATGCGTCGAGGATTCGAGGAAGAGGCAGGAGGGCCATCCTTGAAGATTTGCAAAACTGCAGGTCCAACATCATGTTCAGCATCCAGCCATGGTAAAGGAACATCTGGGTGGAAAGGAGCTTGCCACTCAAACGAGCCATCGGGTTGCAGAGCCATGCAGAACAATGGGTATGGCAATGATGTGAAGTTGTTGTTGTAAATTCCAGTGTAGAGGAAAGTTGATCGTAGAGAGGGAAGTTTGGTTCGGATATAGGTTTCGACTGCGTATTTTTCGGACCAAAGAGGGAGTGACGGCCATGAGGAAGAGACGACAGAGTGATTAGGCATGGATGAATAGATATAATGCTCTATACCAACTGCAGCAGCTGCATCGGCCAAGGCACAGCCAATAGCATATTCATCGCCCCAAAATGTAGTGTTGATGAATGCTAATTGCGCTCCATTGAAAAGATCCTGGATGAGTGCGTCATTCAATTTGGTTGTCTCGGGATCTAAAGTTGGAGATGAAGAGGAAGAACGTTTGATAAAGAGGTCGCCTACTAGGACAGTGACATTTGGAAGTGAGGAAATTTCGGAAGCTACTATCCCATCAAGGTTTCGTAATTGAGCTCGTACATTATAGCCCACTGCACTAGCAACGCGGATAAATGATGCAGCCTGCCGTCCGGAGGAATTGACGACAGCGATAGTCTTCGATGGAGTGGCCATGGATCGTTTGGATGGACGATCCGAGTAAGTGGTAGGAGTATTATATGACGAGAAATCGTCAATTGGGGAGCTATCCGGATATGAAGTGCAAGGTGCGTGTTTTCGATTTATGGGTGGTTGTGGTTCCGAAGGAAGAGGTCTGATGGTGAGGAGGGTAGGCCTCGGTGTTGCTGAGGGCATTGGATGATATAGTTAATCGTCAGACAATTAATTGCTTTAAATCAAAACTTCAAGGCTGATTTTGTTCTTCTTCGGATGACTTTGGTGGCTGATTTCCTTCTCCCGAATCACTCTCAGTTTTAGAAGAAATGGAAATTACTGTCTACTTGTAGAGAACTCCAATTGAACCCTTGCTGCTCACTCAGACAAACGAGGAAACGAACGCGGATAAGGCAATTGAAGGGGTTACCAACAAATCAGGTCCTTCGGTGTGAACTTGCGTACGATAACTTTAGTCGAATAGTCGGATGCAATGCTGTACGTCGACCACAAATGCCAAGTCCTTTGGTGAATACCTTGTAATTCGAGAATATTCTCACTTCCAAACGACTACACCAGTAACACCACCTCAACCCCCGTTTGCGAATGACCTCAAGGAGGAAGAAGTCTGGATTGTAATAAAGATGGTTCGTGGTATTGGATTTTGAGATCCAATCGGGTAATTTTCTTTCTTTATTCTATTTTTTTTTTAGGAAGCGGTGAATCTCTTTGCTTCCAATCTAAATAAATACCTCTCCAGGGACGGACGGGGAAGTGAACCTTCCTTTCTCTCCCTTGCAGCAGCTAAGGGTGGAGAATTTTCGTGTGGGGTTTTTGATCAGTGTTTGGTATCGAGATATAGATTTTAGGAGGAAATCTTGTACCGAGTGAAAGATAACTTGTACGTGTCGTGGATTATTGTGCGGTGGTACAAGTAAAATGCAGTACGAAGAGTTACGCTTCTGTTATGTAACGAAACAGAAGTGTGTAGCTATTGAGCTAGTGGAGTAAGTATATAAAGCTGTGAGACCCCAATTAGGAATGGAATGTAGATAGATATCGAAGGGCAATATTTTGGTGAATAAAGAAAGGCTTTTGATGTCTCGGTTATATAAGGCAAGGGAGGTAAAGTAAGGCGAGTAGATAGATGATAATGCTGGTGGTTATATTGTTATAAAGGTTTTCCCAGGTTTTTACACTTCCTAAGTAGAGATTGATATACTGGTAATTTTATTCTTAGTATAGGACTCAGTGTATTTAATGAAAATATAGAGAAGAAAAGAAGAGGGATTAGTTCAACAAGTTGTATATTTGATCTTTTAAGACTCTGTCCATGTGCATTATCCTTACAATTCAGATATAGGAAGGACTAGTTAATTGTTACTGGATGTCGTATATTGGAACTATCTTCCACTAGTCCCCACAGCTTTTGAAGGGTTTTCCCCCTTTGTTCTCGTTTTATCCATCTAGGTAGATAATCCTAGAGTTGATCTTACTTTTGGCAACCTTGATAGTTATAATAGTTGCAGCTGATTATACACCTACCTCCTCGGTAAATAAGGTATGTCTAACTCTTGATTCTGATTCTGGATGCTGATTCATAGAGAGGGAATTCATGGATCTACTTGACCTACACCATACTCATATAATGTGTAGGAACAGTTCAACTGGGTTTTGTAATCATGCAGAGCATATTATTTCCATATTGTTAATATGATGTACTCGAGTAGTATGGAGAGATATTTTTATATCAAATCCTCCCGTTCATCCACAAAAAAATCTAATAGAGTTTTGCGGCATCGGATGATAGAAAAAGACTTCAGGCCTAACTAGAGACGGTGCACCATGTGGTCTGGGAGGACTGGGAATTAGTAATAGTATCATTATGATATCCATTAAAAACAATCTGGATGTTCTTTGTAAGGCCAATAGGAAAGTTATATCTGCAATTAGTCGTCTCATTATTTTTTCAATATGTTGTTTCAATGATCCGATCATAGTAAGAAAATTTGCCAAGTTGTACCTAATGTACAAATATATCAACTCGTTGGCGTTGTAGTGTGCATCTCTTTTCGTGCGTAAGGTTACCTACTTTGGAAATTGAATCCAGGATCTTCTTTATCCAACCAATGAGAGGTAAATCATACTGTCTTACTTTCATATTTATGAGCTTGATAAGAACGGAACCGAAAAACATCGAGGGGTAATATTTTATACATACACGTGGTTTGGTCAACACGTGTTAATGTCGATTTCTTAATTCGAGAATCAGGTTGAGATCCAGATCCATACCGGTCGGTGTTCCTTTCGTTCCCAATAATGGGCTTCATCATGCAGTGTGATCTCGTATGAGTACCCTTGATGATCTGATCACCTTATTCGAAGCTATCATTTGTACTGCACTGTACTGCACTGCACTGCTAGAGTATCAACTTCTACTTTATCAAATTTGAATGAACTCTTTTGAGTGAATTTTGAAGGGAAAAGCAAATGGAAGATATTTTTATCGGACCAATGAGAAATTTTGCTTCTCAAACCATTACCATTACCTAACCGCATTATGGTTTGCCTTGAAGTTGTCTATAATTATTACTTCATGAGAATTCATCCTTTTCCGTCTCGGCGTCTCCCCATACAAATTCTTGACTTTATTTCCACAATTCTATCATGGAATTGATCTGGACTGCGATGCCGGAATACCGCCATTTCAATGTCTCATCATTCCATCTACATAGTATATCTACATCCACATCAACCAAATTTATTTACATCGAAGTCTTGACCGAATATTTAATCTTGTCCGTTTTGAATTGCGGATCATGAAACAGTCTTAAATCTTTTAATTAGTAGCCATGGAAAAGTATCTACAGTATGATCATTGACTTCTATGGCTCCAAGACTTCACCTAGATCTTACACGAAATACCCCTTCATCATAGGCGAAAAAAATCTTCCATCACGCACTTTCGCAATTCGCACAAATCCGAGCCGATGACCAATAATAGGATTTGTTACGGGACGAGCCTTGTTCTGGAAACTATTCTCCTAGTTCAATAATAATGCCATGGATTTTCGCTCGATTGAGGAATTATCTTGTCAAAGAAATCCGGGGTACAATAGCATTAGGGGCAAGACCCTTTTTTCCCCCTTTTGTATTCTCTCCACTTCTTTAAGAGCCTCCGTTAACCTTTCTTTGCTCGCCGCGGAGAAGTACAATTCTTAACTGATAAGCATGAGATATGATGGAATAATGGCGGGTGATTGTACGTAGTATTACTCCGCAAATTCAAACCATCAATGCCAACGCCAACGGCTCATCAATCATCAGATTCTATTCTTCTTATCTTATCTATTCTTTTTTAAAATCTTTGGATAAGTGCAGGGATTCGATTGGAGATGTCTCACGGTTCGTTCGGCTGCAAATGCAATTTTGGTAAAAGGAGCAATCAATTGAGCCATCCTACATCCTTCCATCCTTCCCGCTTTTAAGTTCCATCGACCTTGTAGAAATCGTTTTATTTGCTGCCACGCCGCTGGGTATGCACATGCGTGGATAATTCAGGCAGGTCCCCCTCGCAAGGCGATGTTGGTTACTATCTGAACCCACTCTTCAAGCTATCACTGTGCCGTTTTTACCTTGCGAGCTACCAAATCAATTGTTCCAAAGATTTCTTCCGACGGGCTTCAATCATTTGTCAATACTACCAAGATGAAAAGAGCGTCTATCTAAGTGATTTCACATACTCGATCGAGTATAGCTACACATCATTATGAATAGTGTCCATAATGTGAATTTGTTTCACGTACTCTGCAGAAAGATATGCATTCAAACCCTATGTGTCTATCTACCAAAACCCTTCACGAATGGCAAGTGCTAGTAGTTCGATGATGGAATTATATGTATTATCCTACATCTTGGCGACCTAAAAGGTTTCGACATACAGACTAAACGTTCCATGAATTCAAATCAAGGGCAAAAACAGCAATGCGCAACGTCCCAAAAAATATTGACATACATCCATGTCCCGCGCAAACAAAACCCAGAGCCATTAAGTTGCAGGGCCCTATTATTATAGACCCTTTGTCCAGACTTTTGACTCTGCAAGTCTGCTGATGGCCGCCGGAAATTTGGGAGATGCTATCCGGAATATGAAAGAACTAGACATTGCTTCTGTGAGGGTCTTTGCAGTGGTGTCCAACTCTTGAGTCACCCTCTCTGCACTCCCTATGTCGAATTCTTGCTTAAACTTCACTTGTGCCGCCTCAATTTTTGCTAACGCCTTCTCCCATCTTTTGAGTATTGACTTGATGACCTTTGCTATATCAGACATCGTTGCCGAATATGCATCGAAGGTTTTCGGTGGAATCTTAATGTTGGGCTTGTTGAGTGATTTCTTGAGATCGTCGTAGGCTTCGATTAGCTTTAGGCCGGCGGGAGAACAGTTTAGCCCTTTCGCCTTACCAAGTATATTGCAGAGGAGACGTTCGCCTTCGATCTCTACTTTGCGTGGAATATCGGAATAATCTTCGAGTGTGATGTTTTTGGCAGCTCCCATCCAATTCGTACGGTGTCCATCTGATCCGGCATTCCTGGCGTAGCCATCAAATATACCTGCCAATTCCGCCGTAACTTCGGCTTGTTGCTGGATGAAAGAGCGCCAATCGTGGTCTACTTCCCGGCTCTTGGCAATGAACTTATCAATCACCCAAAACAATGGTTGATGCCCTTTCCCTTCTCCTTCCAAAACGTCCTTTCGGAGTTGTTCAATAGGTAGGGCGGCTCGATTGAAGGGACTATCCTCTAATCTCCTCAAAGTTCCTTCCCCATCCAATACTATTTTGGCAATATCATTGATAGCCGAGGAAATCTCAACCACAGCATTCGCATTCGTCTTCGCAGCACCCGTCTTACTTGCTTCTGTAACAAGCTGCCTCTCATAAAGCCCATATGAGGCATACACACCGAAGGCAACGAGTAGGGTTGGAATCAGTAGCCACAAAATCCACGACCACCCATATTCCCTCTTGATGATATCGAAAACTCCATCGGGGAGCGGAGGCGGCGTCACAATAAACTCTTGTTCCACAGCAGGAGTTCGACGTGGAGATACCTGCGTTTCCCTCACAGAAGCCTGGCCATCTTGGGAGTGATGTGAAAGCGGCCTCGACACTCTTTGGGCAGGTGTTGGAGTTGTAGAAGCTGACTGAGATAACCGTGGAGAATTTATTGATGCTTCTGTCCGAGGGAACCGTGGAGATTTCAGTTCAGCCTCCGCTTGAGCAGATCTTGGAGATCTCAGTGACGCCTCTGTCTGAGGAAACCGTAACGGTGGAGATTTTAGCGCAGCCTCCGCTTGAGCCAACGGTGGAGATTTCAGTGAAGCCTCTGTCTGAACAAACAGAGGAGATTTCGGCACAGATTTCGGCACAGACTTCGTCGCAGACTTCAGCGGAGTCTGCGGCTGAGGAAACCGTCTTTGTGCCATCGATATAGGCGGAGGTATATTCTCCATTTTCTTCGCGGCCTCGTTAATGGTATTGTGATCTCTCAAATATTTCTCCTGACGCGCGATGGCGGCATCAATTTGTACGCTTGCCTCACGCTGAGATCTTGCAGATGCGGGTGAGACGAACTCGGAAAAGTCTTCTAATTCCTCGTCTATCTCAGCGAATTCTTCCGCTAGTGTTGGTCTGGGCGGGGATTTGTATCGCGTGGGTGGGGGACCAGCTCTGCCGAAAATGCTGAAGCCTGTCCTTTCCATTTGTGTTGGGGTTGAGGGGATGGATGGATGAGTTTTGATGTGGAGGGCTTGGGGGTGCGAGAGGATGGAGGATGGAGGATAGAGGAGAGAGGAGAGAGATGGTGGGTATGCTATGGTGGATATGGTTATGAAGTACTTTATTCGGGTATCGCGACAAAGAAAGGGGGATAATGAAACTGAGATCTTGGAAACTGTACAAGGAAACCTGGCTTTGTTTTCAGAGCCGAATGCGGATTTCTTCCAGTTCCTTCTTTCAGGGAAATAAATGGAAATGTTGGAACATGACGCAAAGTAGCAGATTGATAATTTTGCGTTTTCTCAAACTATTGATGTTCATTCAAGTTCATTCAACAAGGGAAGAGAAGCTCCTTGATTGCTGTAGTGTATGTTAATGAGATAGGTATGGAAGTCATGGTTGGATTTATGCGTCAGTGACAAAGGAAGGAATCTGAAATGAAAATCGACATACATTTCTTCATAGGGTGTTGTGGTATTGGTACTGGCTCTTTCGCTATATACATATATATTACATATATATCTCAGCGATTACTTGAGGAACAATGATTCTTAATTCAGTATTGGATATCATTCAATAGTATATATAGTGTTACTCGAGTACAAGGTGATCCTTCAATCAATCAATCATCTGTTGAAACCATCTTATCATTCGCAGTGTTTACTCAGTACGTTACTACGAGTAATCAGTAGATCTCAACATTAATCATGGAATCATGAAATAACACAGAAAGAAGTCAAAAGGAATGTTATTGACAATCAATCAATGGATAATATTTACTATACTACCCGGGTATATGTCTGACATTGCCAGCGAGAGAAGAATATATATCTCGTATCATCTCATTGTGCTGGGCACTTGCAATTGGTGATTGTACGTTTATAGTAGTAGTAGTAGTAAAGTCATAATCGATTTGATCTAAGTAGTATTCTACTGACGTACGTTGATAAACTGCTGAATTATATGCATATTATAGAGAATACCGTGATATCTCATTCAAGTTTATGAGTATTTGAGAATTCGGATTTCCACGGTATCAGTATTGGTATTGGTATTGGTATTGGAACAGATGACGAATAGGAAAGGGGAACTGAAACATAAATATTCTTGTTGAACTTATCTTTTCTCATCTCCTCATGTCACATTACTAGTAGTACTAGCATTGCATTTCCATTATATTCATTCTATCTTCCATCTTCCATCTTCCATCTCCCTACGCCTTGCAGCCTCGATCCTTAAGCGTTTTCCATATACTCAAGTATATACTATATACTACTTACTATTATCTATCTATCTACCTATCTATCTGTATAACTGTTCATTGATCAAAACTCAATTATATACCAAATGAAACATAAATATAAACTCAAACTCAAAATCCATCACAATTACAAATCCACCCCGAGTCTCTCTCTAGTTAAGTTTCTCAAGTTCTATAGAAATGACTACTAGGTATATATATATATCGAATGGGTAAGTATTTAGAGTTTTTAACTACCATCACATCTCTCTAGCTCTATCTCTATCTCTAGCTCTAGTCTTTGCTCGTTACATATACTCGAGTATTGCATATGTATATTATGATGTATACATATATCTACTAGTACATTCTAATGTTATATATGATATATCAAATGAAAAGCATCAAAATAACGAAATCGAAATCAAGTTTTGCTATTTATATGTACTACTAATCTCGAGTTCTTTCAAGTCGCCCCTGCCAGTCCTCGACGTTTCATTCGGGTTTGTATGAGTAATGTGTATATATTATAGTCTGAGTAATTAGTGATTTGAAGAAGTTCTTGAAGAATGGACATCTGAAATAGTTGAAATGGAATACTCTACCACTCACGAGTAGTTTCATTGTACTTCCTTTCTCCTCAGTCGGGGTTCAATTTCAAGTTCACACTATTTTGCGTAGTCATCGACTCATCGTAGTTACGGTGCTATGTATATACGGAGAATATATTGTAGGAGAGATTTGATTTGATTATTGTATCAATGGTCATGATATGGAGGGAGGATAGTTGATTCGAATCTTTATCTTTGTTCCTATGTGAAGAGGACTGAGGTCCTATTTGTTCTTATTTCATTCCATCTCATAATTACCAGTATTATAATTGATACGAATGCCTGTCTGCGTTTCTGCCTACTTTCTAATTCATATGATTTCTATCTAAATCTTTACTACTCGAGTAATTACCTTTACTTTCACCTCCCACCTTTCAATTTACTCAATCCCTCCCATCGAATTCGAGTTCGAGTTCGAGTTAGATCAGAGGTATATATATATACTCAACAATCAATATTTGCCCTCACTCACGACTAATAGAAATTTATAGATAAGTTTAGTTCCTACTATTTACTACACTCTTCCTATTACTTTTTTCCTATTCCTCCCCTTATTCTTCTATCTCCTTTCCTCTTTTTCTCTATTCCTCTCCTCTTCTCATCTCTTCCTCACCAACACATCTCAATACAAATCTCAAGATCTCAACCCCCCAACCCTAAACCGACCCTACGCGGCTACGCCGGACCCCGAACACTCATATCATCTCAAACCATCTCAAATCCACATCCAAGTCTACTGTCTTTATACATTTCACTATTATCATCACTCACTATACTTATATATATCTCGTCTTATATTATATCATATTATATTATATCGCTCATATATAGAGACGAAGACTAAGACTAAGACTAAGATTCTGATTCTGATTCTGATTGAAGTTCTCGGCTGCGCAGAAAAACCCCGCTACTCATAGAGACCCACAGATAATCTGCCTTGCAAAGAACCCATTGGAGATATTATCTATCTGCAAGAACCCGTTGGGCTTTGAAAATTATCTGCCCTCAGGCCATAGACTAAGATTATCTATAGATTATCTGCAGATACACTGCAAACCCATTAATTTTTATAAAATTAATAATATTGTCAGAAGTGTATGTAGATTATATTCAGATACAGAATCTAAGCTATATTGTTGAGTATATAAGTAAACAAGATATACGCTAATAGTGAATATAGAAAAAGGGCAATATTGTAATACCTATAGTATCTATGACTTTCTAATATCCCCTTTATGATCAAAACCTTGATTGTTCTGAAGTATATGCTATAAAGTAATCTTTTTATATGAAGTTGATCAAATTAACTAAATTGACCAAATTGATCAAGGACAATAACTTTCAATCTAATTATCAAAACTTTATTAATTCTTGTAACGATCTATAGCCCTGCTATTATTATGATATCTAATTTTCTGTGAAGTTCGA